CCCCAAAACCCCAAAACCCCAAAACCCCAAAACCCCTCAACTTCCGCTCCTTGTTGAATTTGCTGTTTAAAAATTGAGCATTTTCTAAAGATCAATATTCTTTTTATCTTTCCTTCTCATCATTGACTTACTGATTATTTCACAGTAGTTCTTTGGTTCTAGGAGGACCCTTCTATGACGACTTCTGAAGGAATGTTTATACTTAGGACTTACAAATATTTTGAGTGCTTGAGGCCTGCATACTTGTTGGACTTTTTCATGTTCTCCAGGCCAGCATTTATCCCGATATTGTACACATTCACTTTGTAAGACTGAAGATTCTAGAGGTCAGATAGGGATTACTATGCCAATTTTTGAGTCATAACGATTCTTTGAATGCTGTAGGAAATCTAATTTAGAATTATTCTTTTTCATTTGTTTCATCCTCGAAGATGGATGTCCATCCAATACCTTTCTTGACCTTGTAGCAGGAATTTCAGGGGAGTTAATCCCAGGTCTATGGATGTAAATACGAGTTTGGCCTACTCTTTGATGCCCTTCCGGCGATAAATTTTGGCTAACCTCCTTGCAGGAGAATTCTGCTGACTTAATACTGGCAATTTAAAGCTATTCTTCAATAAATGGTGTTACTCATTATTCCTGACTCTCTTCACATTGCTCATATAGGATAAGGGAATTGAAGCATTTGAAGGGGAATTGATCAGCTTTTTCTTCTGCTTCTTTAGTGCTTTCTTTAGGCTATTTGATGGTCTCATCTATATCCTCTTTGCCTGCTCTTGGTCGAGCTATGAATTAGCTTTGGTATCTTACACTGAGTGTTGTCTTTCCTGGTAGACTCTTTGGACTTACTCTTCTCCATACCTACTTTAAAGACTTCCCTAAGAATTTTTCTCTGACTGGAATTGTTCCTTCTGGACTTTACCTTCCTTGAACTGTCTTCTGGAGTTGTCTTCGTGTTTGGAATTTTACCCACAAGTTGGCCATTAAGGAACTTCTCTATGAAATCCACTTTTGAGCTGGAGTAATTGGATTTTGGTAAGCTAGATTGGATATTCTTCATTTCTTCAGGAATCAAGATTGTTTCAAGCAAGTTTTTATCGATGTTTGATGAAGTTTCTGATTCTTCGATGTAAAGCTCATCTATTTTGTCCTTCACAATCTTTGAGTTCAAGATTTCATCAGCTGTAGGCCGTTTGTTGGGTTTTATAACTGCATCATTAAAGATATAATTCTTTTCAGATCAGAAGAATATATAGCTGGAATGTTCGCATATTTTCCTTTACATACTTTGGAAAAGAGCGCTTCCATGTTACTTGCTAAGAACGGTGGCTTCAGACTTGTCATTTCGTATAGAACTCAACCAAGTGACCAAATATCACTACTACTATCATAAGGCATATCATTCCAAACTTCAGGGCTTGCATAATATGGAGTCCCTGTTTGAGTAAATAGCATTCCCTTTTTAGCAACTTTGCTTACATTAAGATCACCTAACTTAGCAGTTCCATCCTTTTCAAGGAAAACATTGGCACTCTAAGCCTTTAAACAATCTACTTGCCTTAATATCCCTATGGTATATATCCCTCTTGTGTAAGCTTCTGAGTCCTCTGAGGACCTGGATAAACACTGACCTACAAAAATTGACTCAAGTCTTGCAGCATAAACAAGGATGCTTATTGGTACTTACCATATATAATCTTCATCAAAATACTGGTCTTTCTTCTTCTGAATGCTAATCTTTATTGGTACAGGTCTTTATCATTAGCATATTCCATTATAATGCACAGAGCCTCTTTCTCTGTATCATAAAAGGCTTCTTTATAAGAAATAACATTCTTGTTACTAATAGAGGCTAAGATCCGCACTTCGTTAAGAGAGTTCAGCACTTCCTTCTCGCTTAATTTCCCAAGTTTTATTCTAAATATGATAGGGCTTATCTCTTACAGCTTTAAAGCATAGTAGTCCATGTCAGAACTACGTCTTACCTATAATATTACGTGATTGACGTACTTTGAACACCTGGCTATAGGCCCCATCGCCTAGAGATAGAAACATGCCATACCTAATTTCTCAAGTACCTATAATGAGAGGCGACTCTTACTTCGAATTTGTTCATTTTGTTCAAAAAGTTATGAAATTTATTAAATTTTACTTAGATTTTTGGGGTTTTGGGGTTTTGGGGTTTTGGGGTTTTGGGG